ATGAGGAACTGTATTAAGGGTTCACGGCATTAGGAAGGTTGAGAACTGCTGCTTAAAACGCTTTAATGTCCCAAGATTACTTCAATTCAGACAAGTTCCTGGACTAGTAAACTAGGTTGTAATCCTAGCAGTGTGACAGATTGCTTCTGTACCACTGGGCACAACGAATTTCTCGGAGATTTCTACAAAATGGATAGAATTACCTATGTCCCTGTTCATTTCTTTCTGCAGAGATTTGAGCCTTGGTGTAATGGGCCTTGGGGTGGGTTGGTAGAAGAAGGAAGTGTCAATAAGTGACGTGTCAATAAATGAAAGAGATTTACAAATCCTGAAAAAAATTCCGTGTATGTAGATATGTACAGTTTTCTGGCGAGGCTACAAAGCTTTCATCAGATTCTCAAAGGGGTGAGTAATGGAAAAGCCAGAAGCTTAGACTCCCATCAGAAAGCCTAATGGGATAACATATCAGTTGTCAACTACGATGACTCAAGCTCAAACTTCATCTTCTTCCCCTCATACAAGTTTGTGCATTCTGTTGATCATTAGCACTTCTGCTATACAGAGTGGGTGGAAAAAAAGAAAAGTGCTAAGATTCATACCAACTTACTTGTTCTCTGTCTTTTCTAAATGTTTTGGGGAAAGTCCTCAATTTAAATTTAGGACTAAAATTCTTCCTACTTCTACATTAATGTGGAAAACTAAAAGGTAACTTCAGATTTGAAAACTCTTAAGAGATGCACATCAAAATGTTATCAGTGATCCCTCTGGGGAATGAAACTGTCATCATGGGAGGGGCTTTAGTTTTCGTTATATAATGCAGGGGATTCTCGAATAACACCATTTCCCTCAACCGTAATCATGTTGATATTATGTTGATATGATGCCACAAAAACTTAACTCTTGTTTATATCAATTAGCTTATGGTAAAACTGGTTTCATTACAGGTTATTTCACTTAAACTCCCAAAGCCTATCGATGATGTTAACTGAAGACTGACCATATTTGGTTTCTTTCCACCAAGCCTGCATGTAATTCAGAAAATGAAACTCCTGGGAGCACACAGCATACAGAACCCATAATACGGAGTATCTCACATTACTTCCACCCATCTGCCTCCTTCCCCTCAGTCACTATTGTCAAATCTCTCTCAAAGGTCCGTCTCAATCACCACCTCCTCTGATCATCCTGAACAAGAACTCTTCCTCCCTCTTCTAGAACACTATTTATGCCACTTTTATGGCGGATCTGAGCTTATTCACCTTCATTCACCTGAAATACACTGCGCGTTTAACAGTGGGCCGGGCACCACTCATATAAGTCTTGCTTCCTCACAAATGATTATGCACCTTTCTCTCATGGAGCCTAGTACAATGCCTTATTAGAGGAAAGTACTCGATAAACACTTGCCAAACGATGTACAATACAAGTATTAACAGCTTTATAAGGTACATTCAAGGATTTATTTTTTCATTCATTTTTCCAGTTGTTCCTAGCCTTACCTACCCAAACATTCACTTGGTCTATTTCCATCCACACTATGTTCTCCTGTTCATCTTAAAGCATTATTCTTTTCAACATATAATCTTATGGTGGCTGTTCTCAGCAGACAGGGAAAGAATAAAAATGGGCTGTGTAGGTTGTCTGTAATTAGATTTGATAGGACACGATCTGATCCAGAAATAGGAGCAATGAATTAGCTTCAGATTAAAATGAGACAGACAGTGGATGACGCTGCTCACATAAAATGCAAGTAAGACCTTCACCTTGGTTCAGTTACATGAATGTTTTGAAAACATGTGACTCCTCCACAACACAACTAATAAAAACATTCTGGTCGCTCCCACTGAAGAAAGTCAAAACAAAACAATAATAACAAAATTGCCCCGATTCCATCAAAAGAAAGTGGCATCTGGAGTCACTACACACAAAGTCAATCTCCTTTTATCTTCAAAACCTACAGAGATTTATTGCACAAAATGATGAAAGATGCCGGATTTCCACAACAGTGCACTTTCAAAAAAATCACCAAAGACAACTTTAATAATATTTGTTTCAAAAGTAAGAACTTTTGCCTATATTCTAAAACAAATAAGGGTTGTGGAGGGATTCCTACGGCTGCAGTCAACACTGTTTTTGTCTGATCGCTACTCCTTCCCCACTTCTGAAAACACTATCACTTCTCTCAAATAACTGCCTGATCCAACCACATTGTTCTGTGAGGTGCTGCCAATCACAGGACTCTATGCTGACACAGTCTCCCTGCGAAACCCATGCACCACCAAGAGAGAGAGAGCGAGCATGTGATCAGACCAAGCCAGTCTAAGTTGTTCTCCTGGATTTTTCACACTGGAGCCTGTAGGAGACAGACCTGATATGGGGGCAAAGCAAGAAGAAAACAGTGTGCTTATGACCACAGTTCTAGCGGTATAGGAAAAAAACAGGTTTGAGAATGGAGCCAACTGACAAAAAGAAAGTAGAGATGACAGCTACAGAGAGGGAAGAAGGGCCTGGACAGTGTCTCAATTCCACTGCAGGTTCTTCTGCCCCTTGCAAAGTCTGGCTTCATCTGACCTTCTTCAAGTTGGGAGTTAGTCTTCTTTCATTTGCATCATCATAATGAACCTCAACTAGCACAAGTCTTTGAGTCAGTGCACTCGCACGAAATGGTATATAAAATTATGTGTGCATTTATAAGGGGAAGGTTCTTAGCATTCAAAAGATTCTTAAACAAAAAAGGGTGGGGTGGGGAATTTAACTATTGATTTAAAGTAAATTCTTGGTTACATACAAAATTCAATTAACCAAAAACACCCCTTTCCTTATGCTTCTACCTAACAACAACACAACCACAGAGATAACTGACAGAGGCAACAGCGAACGCCCACAAAACCACTGACCTTCATTCCCCACGTCGTCGTTCATGAGTCCCCCGAGCCACATCTTCCAGTCCTCGTCATCTGCTGTATTGGGGTCGTACATGTCTGGGGTGATGTCTGGAGCCTGGAGCTCTGCTTCCAGTTGCCCCAGGGGAACATCTTTCAGGGGCATCTTAGAGCGGGTTCGGAATGCAATGAGGCTGTCATCCATGGGCTGGCCAATGAAGAAACACAAACATGTCACTGAGCACGTCACTAAAGCTTCCAAACGGCCCCAACCGCATCGTATCCTGCGTGCTTCTCTTGTCAGCTTAATCCACAGGTCTCTTCTCTAAACAACTGGGGTTTGTTATTCTTCGAGAAACTTGAAGGACAATGACCATCGATTTTAAAACCAACATTTCAGGGGCGGCCAGTTAGCTCAGGTGGTTAGAGCACAGGCTCATAACACCAAGGTTGCTGGTTCGATTCCCACATGGGCCAAGGAGCTGCGCCCTCCACAACTAGATTGAAACAGCCACTTGACTTGGAGCTGATGGGTCCTGCAAAAACACACCATTCCCCAATAAAAAATAAAAATAAAAAAAAGTTTAAAAAAAAATAAAAATAAATAAAACCAACGTTTCAGGAACATTTGCAATAGCTGTATTAAGGTATAATTTACATACCATAAAATCCACCCTTTTCAAAGTGTAAAATTGAGTGGATTTTGCCATGCAGAGCTGTGTGACCATCCATACTAAATCCAGAACACAGTCATCACCCCCAAAAGAAGTCCCATCCTCCCGGCACCCAGTCCCCAGCAAACACTAATCTGCTTCCCATCGCTGTGGATTTGCTTAGGCAGCTACTTCATATAAATGGAATCACACGATATGGGGCCTTTTCTCTCTGGCTTCCTTTACTTAGCATAATGTTTTCAAAGTTGATCCATTTCCTACCATGTATTAATACTTCCTTCCTTTTCGTTGCACAATATTTCATTATACAGATATGCCCTTTTTGGTATATTCATTTATCACGTGATGAAAATTTGAGCTGTTTCTGCTGTGGGGCTATTGAATTATGTTGTTGTGAACATTTGTGTACAAGTTTTTACATGGACATATATATACTCAGTCCTCTTCAAGTGAACCTGCTGGGTCACATGTTTAACTTTCTGAGGAACCACCAAACTGTTTTCCAAAGTAGCTGTACCATTTTCTGTTCCTACCAGCAACATTTGAAGGTTCCACCTTTCTCCACATCCTCGCCAACACTTGTCACTGAACATGGTTTTTATAATAGCCGTCCTCATGGGTGTGGGGTGTTATCCTCTTGTAGTGTTAATCTGCATTGTCCTAATGACTAACGATGCTGAGCATCTTTTCATGTGCTTATTGGCCATTTGTGTATCTCCTTTGGAGAAATGTCTATTCATATCCCTCGCCCACTTAAAAAAATTTGTTTTAATTTTTCAATTACAGTTAATATGCAATATATTAGTTTCGGGTATACAGCATAGTGGTTAGACATGTATATTACTTACAAAGCGATCCTCTGATAGGTCCAGTACCCACATGGCACCTTATATAGTTATTACAATATTAATGACAATATTCCCTGTGCTGTATTTTACATGACTGCTTTTATAACAGCCAATTTGTACATCTTAATCCCTTCCTCCTTTTTTATCCATCCCTCCAACCCCCTCCCATCTGTCCTTTGCCAATTTTCGATTGGGTTATCTTTTTATTGTTGAGTTATAAGAGTTCATTATGTATTATGGATACAAGTCCCTTATCAGATATGTGATTTGCAATTATTTTCTCTCATTCTGTGGGTTTTCGTTACTTTCTTGATGGTATCCTTTGAAACACAAGTTTTTAATTTTGATGAGTCCAATGTACCTATTTTTTCTTCACTTGTGCTTTTGGTGATACATCTAAGAAACTACTGCATAATCAAGGTTACAAAGATTTACTCCTACATTTTAAGAGTTTTACAGTTTTAGCTCTTACATTTAGGTCAGTGATCTGTTTTTTTAATTATTTGTTTTTCAGTTACAGTTGACATTCAATATTATTTTATATTAGTTTCAGGTGTAACAATTATCTATTTTGAGTTAATTTTTGTGCATGGTGTAAGGTAAGGGTCCAACTTTATACTTTTACATGTGAATTTCCAATTGTCCCAGCACCATTTGTTGGAAAGACTATTCTCTCTTCATTAGTTGGCCTTAGCACACTTGTCAAAACTCAACTGACCACAAATATAAGGGTTTACTTTGGGGCTCTGAATCCTGTTCTATTGATCTATATGTCTGCTCTCAGGCCAGTACCAGACTGTCTTGGTTACTGTAACTTTGTAATAACTTTTGAAATCAGGAAGTATAGACTTCCAACTTTGTTCTTTTTTAAGATTGTTTGGCTATTTTGGGTTCCTTGCATTTCCATACGAGTTTTAGGATAAGCTTAGCAATTTCTACAAAAAGAAAAAGCAGCTAGGATTTGGATAGGGTTGCAGTGAATAGGTAGATCTATTCAGAAAGTCTTGCCTAGACTCCTGCAACAATCTCCTAACAGATTTCTTCTCTGTTTCCTCTCTTGGCACACCTTAATCCAAGGGAAATTTGTAACATCATGACCACAACATACTCTAAAGTGATGCAGGAAAAAAATTATGTGTGTAGGGAGAGAATAAGGCAATTGTGGTAAAAGTTAATATTTGGGGGATCTGGCTAATGGTTGTTCCTACAGTCCACATTCAAAAATGCTCTCTGTCACATACCTTATTCTTTCCTTAGGAGCTGCCACTTTCACAGTTAAACAGCACACACCATATAACAGTATTAAAGACCTACAATTTCATGGCTCTTACTTATTATAGCAGAATTTAATATCTTCCCCTCTCCCTTCCCAACCTGAGCAGCAACTAAATTACTCTCTTTGAGTTTCTCAGCAATTTAGAGACACGTGTTTACCTGGAAAGAATCCATGCAGACTGGACTGGAAGCCAGCTCCTCATCCACAGCGTGCAACTTCTCCATGAAAGCACTGTCCCTGGTCTGCTTGGGCTTCGGGGGGGGTGGGGGCCCCATGGGCACCACCTCAGCACTGATGTGCCTGATGGCAGGTGTGCTGACTTTCTCAGCCTGATTGAAAGAGGCAAGTATGTTAAAAAATAAAAGGAGGGGGGAGAAAGAAGAGAAAAACAGAAAAAGTAGAGAGACAGAGGCATATCTTTCATGTGCTAGTGATCTTTCTCTTCCCATCTAGATAAAGGGACATAAAAACAAAGGCACTGGGGGCCAGCTGAGTGGCTCAGTTGGTTAAGAGTTGGCTTAAGAGCGTGAACTCTGGGCCAGCCGAGTGGTGCGTTGGTTAATAAGAGTTGGTTTGGGACGCCAGCTCTAAGCAGCAGGACCCCGGTTCGGATCCCACATGCAGGCCAGTGACACTGAGCCCTCTACAGCTAAGATGGTGAACAACAGCTCGACCTGGAGCTGGGCTGCTGTTGAGTCAGCAGCGACAGTGTAGGCTATAGTGGGGCTGGCCGGCAGCTGGCATGTGCTTTCGTGAGCTGCCATGAGCCGCCGTGAGCAGCTGTCCAATGGCTGGCGAGCAACTGCCTCAGCCGGGAAGAGCGCAATGATAATACCAACATGGGCCAGTGAAGTGACATCCTCCACAACTAGACTGAAGAATGAAAGGACAGCAACTTGTCTATTCCCCTTCCCCAATAAATTCTTCAAAAAAAAAAAAAAAGAGCGTGAGCTCTGAGCAACAGGGCTGCCAGTTCAATTCCCACATGGGCCAGTGACGCTGAGCCCAAGCTGAGCTGTTGCTGAGCTGCCAACAGGTGGCAGGATGGCTCAGCTGGTGTAACAACAAGATTTCCTGTTCAATGGTGGGCTACGCCCACCTGCAACTAAGACTGAACTCAGCACCTTGAGCTGAGCTGCCACCCAGATGGCTCAGTGGATAAGGCATGCACTCTTAACAAGGCTGCCGGGTTCTACTCCCGTACGGGATGGTGGCTATGCCCACCCCCAACTAAGACTGAACTCGGCACCTTGAGCTGAGCTGCTGCCTGGATGGCTCAGTGGATAGAGCGTGTGCTCTTAACAACAAGGCCGCTGGCTCGATTCCCGCATGGGATGGTGGCTACGCCCACCCCCAACTAAGACTGAACTCGGCACCTTGAGCTGAGCTGCTGCCTGGATGGCTCAGTGGATAGAGCGTGCGCTCTTAACAACAAGGCCGCTGGCTCGATTCCCGCATGGGATGGTGGCTACGCCCACCCCCAACTAAGACTGAACTCGGCACCTTGAGCTGAGCTGCTGCCTGGATGGCTCAGTGGATAGAGCGTGCGCTCTTAACAACAAGGCCGCTGGCTCAATTCCCACATGGGATGGTGGCTACTCCCACCCGCAACTAAGATTGAACACAGCGCCTTGAGCTTAGAGGCCACGAGCTGCCGATGGGAAGCCAGATGGAGACTGGCACCCTCCACAACGAAGATTGAAGAACAACAACTTGGCAGGTCCCCTCCCCCATTCCCCAAGAAAACTTTTAAAAAAAAAAGCAAAGGCACTGTCAAGTATACTCATATTGATCTAATTCGGTTTCATGCTATTTCCAATGAAGCCAACAGGATGCTACTTAAGATACCAAAAGTGGGAAATATAATAAAAATGGCTTTAGGACAGTATTAGAGAACAGGTATGAAAAAGGGAAGGGTAGAAGAAAAGAAACTCTGCTAGTCACTCATATTTGGCCCCTTAATGAGAATTCAAAAAAAAACTCTCTCCCTATCACTGAGTTCTGTTTTCTCTTAAATGTTCATTGACTTGAAAGACATTGCTCAACAGTTATAATCAATCAAAAACACCAGGAAGATACGGGCATGATGACTGATCTTGAAATCGTGTTTGGCAAAGGGTGCCAGCTCAGAATCACGAATAAAAATTTACTTATACAGTTATAACTTATCTCTTTTGTATGGTGCAGGATTACCTCTGATAATATGCCATTCTCCTCATCTGTTTCAGTCATCTCAGAAGACTGCCTCAATCTGGATTTCTTTGCTCCACGTGGAGACGAAGCAGTACTTTCAACATCACTTTCCAATAAACTCTACAAAACAAATCCCATTCACTTTTACATTCACGCCTCTACCTCCTTCCACTGAGTTTGAAGTATCTCAGGAGAATGAATCACAAAGTATCAATCATTCAGAGCAAGAGCAAATACAGCTGAAACAGGAGCTTAGTATTCTGAAGGTGGGGACAGGGACCAGGTCACTATGCTCACCAGTACTGCACACTGTGCAAAACTGTAAGGCATTCATTTAAAATCCTTTCACGGGCAAGGCAGAGAACACATGACAGATATCACACAGCAATGAAAATGAACTATATATAGCTATAGGCAAAAGCACAGAGGAGGCTCAGAGAACTGTGTCTCAGTCCTCTCCATGGAAGAGGTGACATCACTCAGGCCTCACTGGGCCACTCGGTCTGTGTTCCTGGCTAAACTCACACGGCCGCCACTGACCTCCTCAGCAGTCTCATCCTCATCGTCGTCGTCTGGCTGGTACTCTTCATCTGACGAATCATCTTCTTCAAGGTGGATATCCACAAACTGAGGAGGCTACTCGAGTACAATTCCAGAAAAAAAATGAAGGGATAAGAAACACAAGTCATATGGATGTGGAAAATACAGGGAAAAGGTAGAGCGAGAGAAAAAAATCTAAGAGCTCAATGAGCGAAGCAGGGGTTCATGAGAGTCCTAACAAGAGAGTCAAATCTGAGAGTAACAGGGAGGGAAAACCAAAGCTGGAATTTTAAAAGTTTAAAGTCAAAGTCCCCAAAAATGTTAACAAATAGAAAGGAAGTATTTAGGATTCAAAACTGATGAAGTCTTTTGGGAAAACAGTAAGAATTACCTCTTCCAAGTTTACCTTAATTTCATTGGCCTTCTTAATTGGTGAAATATTCCATGTTGGAATTACCTACAACAAAGAATATAAATGGTTATGTTCTCTTAACTGAAATAGACTGTTTTTCATTTTTCATTCCTCTTTACCATCACAAAGAGCCGTCTACCTAATGCCAGCTGCAGTGAGCTTGCGATACTGATTACCCGCGAGGGTATATGCATTAATATCTGTCAGAGCTTGACAGGAGCAGGAGAAAGGAGAGAAGGCTCCATTCCCATCACCAGCATTTCCGCCTTCATTCCAGTAAGACGCTGTATCATCCACTAACGGAGACAGGACCTGTCTTACCTACTTTGTATCACAGCTTGGGTTCACATGGAATAATGAATGTGAAAACTATTTGTAAACTACAATAGCAGACAAACCTAAGATATTATAGGTGATATAGTAGCCTGTTGACATCAGTGTCAAGTTGTCCACAACTTATTTTCAAATAGCACAGGAAAAAAAAAATAGAGCCAGAGAGATATAAAACAAACATGGCAAAATTTTACAACTGTTAAATCTAGGTAGAATCTAGATTTACTAAAATTCTTTCAACCTTCTGTATGTTATAAAACAATGGAGTCGGGAACGTTTTGTAAAGAATTTTTTAAAGCTCCTACACACTGCTGACAAATGCCACTGCAGTGTATCATTTCTTGACTACTTCACTTTGACCCGAACAGAATCCTCTCACAAACAGAATCCAAGGCTGGGCTGTGTCTACAAGGAGCTCGGGGTCTCCACATCTCAGCCCTGCCTCGTTCAGGCCTTTTACCTCGCTCTGTGTAGGGAGGCCCAGTGGGAGGGACAGGGGCTGATGTGACTCATGTCCACACCCCTTCCCGTGTCTGTTTCTGAACCAGTCAGTTTCCCTACTGCCAAACCCGCCGGGAAGTGTGCTGCCGTCAGTCTATTAAGCTGTAAGGAGCAGGAGACCAGGACTCTAACCCTTGCTCCCCGACATGAACTAGTCTTTGGTCATCCAGCTTCTCTACACCTGTGTTCAGGGCTGGGAAACATAATCCAGAGCCTGAGGTGGGTCTCCTTGGTCTTTTTTTCCAAATCAAATATGGAATTAATGTTACTTATACTCTGTATGTCAGAGAGACGTATAGAGTATTCATATAAACTCCGTCTCACTGATGGCTGCTTTCATCATTGCTATACGTCCATTTGTGTGCTCCCTGGAAAAAGACACATTTCACTCTATGCAACCAGAGTTAGTTGAGTAAACAAGAAAAAATGATGTGGCTGTCAAAAAAAGCCAGTGCAACCTTAGGCTGCATTAAGAGGAATACAGTATCTGGAACGCTGAATGGATAACCTCACTTGTACTAGCTAAAGCGCATCTGGGCAGTAGATTCCATGTTAGCCACAGTTTTGAAAGGATACAAGCAAACTAGGCACATTCAAAAGAAACAGGGCAGATTGGTGAAGGTACTCAAAGCCTTGTCACATAATAGACCAATAACAAACAGGGATGTTTATCAAGAAAGAATATTACGAAGAGACATACTAGTTTTCTTCAACTAGAGTAAAGGTCATGTGGAAGAGAATAGACTTATTCCTTCTCTTGGATTGCAAGGAACAGAACTGGACAAACAGACAAAAACGACGATATGCATTTGGGGTCCATCTTCCTTGTTATCTGAGATAGAACGGGCCCCCGCAGAACTATCACCTGCCTTGTCACAGAAGGTAAGCACACACAGGACAGGTGCTTGCTATGCAGGATATAACAGGGTGCCAAGCATCAGAGAACTCGCTGCACCAGAATCCTTCAGAAGTCCTAAGTGGTTCTCATAGTTCAGTGTGCAAAAGAAGGAACGACTGTATTTTCAACAATGCATAGTCCCGGGCCCACCAACGGGTCCCAATGATTCCTAGGACTGTGGTCAGCCCAAGAATGTGGGTTCACTTGTAATGAGCACTCCTGAGGTACCCCACACCACGGTGATCTCAACCCAAGTGGCCCCTTAGACACACTTTGAAAAACACTACTCTTAACACTACACATATCTTATCACAGGAATATAAAAACTGACCTCTCATTGCTTTTAAGTATTCTAAATGGTTCTCTGTCTAGTACCTCCAAAAAGGAATAATTCCACATCAACTAAAATAAAAATAAATTCTGATAATGATTTCATATATTCCATCTCTACTTGTCTTTTACAAATCTTTCTTTAAAGAGGCAAACAATAAATCTTTCCTATATTTTTTCCCCTTCAAATAACCGGAAATCAGAGCTTATTTACCAAGCTAAACAAATAAAGAAAAAACAGAACACCCACCACTCCTTTTTCCACCACTTCCTTAAGTTTAGAGCGTGTCATTTTGGGCTCCTAAGGAGAAGAAAATGAGAAAAAAACGAGTCAGTAACCATCATCATGTAATCCTTGGGTTCTGAGACACTACCCTATCCCCCAAGTGTCAGACTATTTACAGACTCCCCAGGGCCCTGCTACTCGTAGCCAGTTTACAGGTAGCTTTGTTCCATGACAAATGGATTACTCACAAACATCGGCATATCTTCGGTCTCACTGATGGCAGCTTTCATCATCGCTACCACGTGTTCATTTGTGATTACTTCCTGGAGAAAAATGAAATTTCAGTTTATGCAACAAAGCTGTGTCATCTAGAGAATATTCATGTCTCTGTAATTCTGCTCGATACTCAAACAGCTTCAGATTGGGGTGATGCAAGGGAACTGAACGCAAAGAAGCAAGTTGTGGACAAAAGCACATAGCTCCGAACAATGCAGCAGCAAATGAGCCAATCTTATCAGCTGCTATGGGGAACAGGACTGGCTCACATAAAGAGAGATTCTGAGGTACTACAATATAGATGCTTAAGAGAAACGGTAATAAACAACCAAGGCTTTGTAAATAGCTGTGTTGCTACATTTCAAAGAACAGTATTTGCACATGTGCAAAGTACTGTAAACTGTTCACTGGGCATCTTTTTCAGACAACTAACCCACAAAAGGGTAAATTCAGTGTGAATGTTAGTCCTGAATATGCTAAACAATACACTAAACAATCAAATCAGTGGAAGGAAGCAGAGGAACAGTTTACCTTCCCAGTTAAGTTCTTTTACATGCGTTCAGATTCCAAACTCTTGCTGAGTGTAAAGAGAAAGCTATCTTGAAAACCGAGTCACTCATATACCGGGAGTCCAGAGCTTCCGGGGCATTCTCATTTGCTTCCCCACAACCCTCAGGCCTTACTCACGTGGAGGATGTTCCGCACGTTGACGGCCGTCAGGTTGTGCTGCTTGGCGCCGTCCTCCAGGGTGCGGTCCAGCACATCATCCAGCCTCAGGTCACACGCCCCTTCTTCCTGACCCCTCCCATCTCGCTTCCTCTTGGTACCCTTCTTCTTCTTTTGCCTTTTCTCACTTTCTTCATTGTCT